CCAAGCATGTTGGGGACCCCCCCCCCCCACGCACCTGTGGGATGCTCCATCCACCCCAGCATCTCAGCATTCACAAACCACCTGGTACCTTGAGGTATGTAGAAAAAACATTTAAAGTTGTGTATATGTCTAAATCATCGAATCTCCCCGGATCGATTTGGAGGGTTCTGATTTGATTTGGAGAGATTAAAGGGTTTCCTGATTCGATTTGGCGACCAAATTGAGCCAAACTGAATCAGTGACCAAAGCTTCATACAGACTTACTATTTATGACAACTTGATAACTAGGTCTTTGTAACCAGATATTCACATTCAGAAACAGATTCAAGAAATTGGATACATGTTAACATTTTGAAACCCTATTCAACTTTATGTTTCTTCCAGAGTCTCAAGTATATGTGCAAGATAAATCATTTTAAAGAAGTTCAGAGGACTACTACTGAAAATGAATTTTTGTTGTGAGCTCCTTCAATAATGAGCACTTTGACAATGTCTTAAATATACAGTATTAAGAAACCCACCCAGCTTTTGGTTGTAATAATGCTTTAAGTACAGGTAGGTACAAAACAGCACACACCCAAATGGGACACTGGATCTGACAATAAGCTCATAATGATACAACTTCCCTGATTTCACTGGAGTTACTCCTGGTTTACACTGGTTAAAGATCAAAATCAGGCACATAGCACAATGTCTTTAACTACAAGTACACATGTAAATTCTGCAACCAAACAAGCACAATTAACTAGTTCATTAGTTTAAATACAATAATCAGACATGTTGATATAAATATCAACTAATGCAGTTTCCAGCATTCCTATTAAATCTTATAATCTTCACATTTCAAGGAGCTATTTTTCAAATGGAAACCTCTGGGGCATTGTGTGCAGTAATTATTCATCATCAAACAAGTTCATCTTGTTTCACCAAGTACCTGCTTAGTAATACCCAAGTCAAATTGCTGGTTTGCTTTTAATATCTGACCCAAAGATTTATTTTTCTTATCCAACTTTAAAGTCAATTTGCTACCTGTAAACATATTTTTAAATAAGCATTAAGTTAGACATCTCTTGTCTTTTATACAACCACTGCTTAGAGCAAATTGTGGTACCTCAAGTTTGGTACTAAACAGAGAATTAAATTAGAACCTTATCCATGATGAAAGCACTTTAATAGGTATCTTATAAACACCAATAAGTGCAAGATGTGCACTTTGTGACAAAAACAAAATTACACCCAACCTCCACCCTGGAATTAAAGAATTAACAACAGCCATGACAGCTACCCATAAAGCCACTGTTAACATGCAGCCTCAGTTTTTTCAGCTAAGGTACCATATGCACTCATGAGTGGAAGTTAGTTTTAGCTTGGAACATTTAAAACAATACATATAAGCTTTAAATATGAAAATTTTAACATTTTAGTTCCAAGTTGTGCAAATATTTTCATGAAACGGGACATATTTAAAGCAATGTTACTGATCATACAAACTCATTTCTATGACACAACACTCTTCTCTGTGTGCTACGATAATCTCTAGTAGTACTTTGTTTTTTCTTTGCATAATTGTCATTGTCATTAGTATCAATGAAAGTTACACAGATGCATAAAAATACATGCACTGTAGTTCTCACTAACGAGTTATTTTATACCTTGATTTCCTTAGACCTAGGAGACAAAACCTAAAGTCTCATTTTTATTTTAATTCACTTTTAGCCAATCTTTACTCAGATAAGTTCCTTTTATTTACTGGAGACTTCACAGAAAAAAAAGTAAATAGAAAAAGCAAATGTTCATTAAATCAATTTCAAAGAATGTAGAAAGCAATTACATAGGTATTTTTACTCCAACACGTCATCTTGGATATGTTAGCACTTATCAGTTACAGTTCACTTCTATAGACTAAGTTTAAGTGAACAAAGCTCTGGAAGTCAGCTTCTATACTATTATTTCCCTATACTAAGGAAGAAACCTATTACAAGATACGGAAATTTGTGTAGTAGCAAACATACTGCACTATTGTTTTTTTTCTCATCTCCTCTCTGTCATTTTGTCTATGTCAATCCCATCTCTAAGCCAAAGGCAGATGAAATTTTCACCACTTTCAAATTAAGGATACCCTAAAACATGATTTATTTACAACCTCACTTCCGCATCAACACTAATAGTTCAATAAGAAGAAAGTTCCGAGTAAGCTGCTATACAATAACAATAAATAATTTGAGCTCTACACTCCAGTGAACTGCTGGACTGAAGTGTTACTGAAGTAGACATTACACAATGATAGTACTTGGCTTAAAAAAATATGAATTTCCTAATTTTATTGGTTCTAAAGCTATGTGAACTTTTAAAATTGAAAAAAACTTCTTTGGTTTCAAATTTCTTACCTGTACAACTGACGACTGGAAAGCTGTAATAGAATTAGTGAAAACAGGTGACTTTTTTCATTATCTTCACATAGAACAAAACAGCATCCCTACCCCAAAGACCTTACAAAAGGCAAGTGGTGATGCCATATGAGAGAGAACAAGGAAACAAATCAACAGCACTGGTCACTAGGGGTGTGCGAAATGGGCCGTATTCAATTCTGATTCAGCCCAATCAAGGACAGCGATTCAATTCATTGATTTGGATCACTGTCCCAAAATGATTCGGCCAAATCCAGATATGAAGACTGGATGCTGATTTGGAGAATCAGCAATTCAGCCATAGACACAGCTTTAAATGTTTTTTCTACATTCCTCGAGGCACCAGGTGCGGCTCATGAATGCTGCGATGCTGGGGCAGATGGAGCGTCCCACAGGAGCACAGAGCCCCCCCCCCACGTGCTCAGTGGTGAACCCAGAAGTGCTTCTGGTCCGCTTCTGGGTCTGTTGGCGAGTGCACTGGGGACACCCCCGCTCCACGCTCCTCTGGAATGCTCCATCCACCCCAGGATCTCAGTATTCACGAGCCGCCTGGTACCTTGAGGTATGTGGAAAAAACATTTAAAACTGTGTCTATGTCCAAATCATCAAATCTCTCTGAATCGATTCGGAGGGTTCTGATTCAATTCGGAGAATCTCTGCCAAACCAAATCAGCAACTGAAGCTTCACACAGCCCTACTGGTCACCATGACAGACAGCTGTCCTGGCACATCTATTGCCCTACTGTTGTCAAATGTTTTGTAGACATTTGGGCATGGATCTGACTGAAAACCAAAGTGGTTTTGCAGATGTTTATATGGAGGCCCTTCAATACATTTGAAGCAACATGCCTATTCAAAAATGAAATAAGTAATGCGACCTAATGACATTATATTATACTCAGTTTGATGCGAAAAGGGAGCCAGAAGGGAAATGCAAAGATACAGGTGATATTATCAAAATGACAAGACAGAAAAATAGTCTTTGCAGCAACCTTTTAAATGGATACGAGCAGGACTATATTCCATTTGTCAAAGCTGTAGAAAAGGGTGTTGCACTAATCAAGACATGGAATGATGAGATTAAAGCTGTGTGGGCAGACAGGAAAAGCCATATCCTACAGACGTTATACAGAACGAATCAGCAACATGTTAGTATCAAAAAAGAATATAGAAGGGTGGCATAGGTGGAAAGTAAGGAGGCTCTGTTTTGGATATGTTGAAAGTAAGCTACAAGACAGGCATCTATAAGGGGAGGCATGAGAAATGGATACTGCTATAAAAATAAAATGACTTAAAATTCCAACAGACATTAATAGCTAGCACAAACCTCCTGATGGATCCTCTTTAGACCTTCCAAGGATTTTTCACTGATATAATCTGTAATCGATCTGTAAAAAAGTGACATAGAATTTTAAGTCAAAAGACGCACATTTCCTGTTCATACATTCACAAATAGTTTCTTCTCCAAATGCTTATTGTACTTTTAGAGTGACAGAAAAATAAATATACATGACTCCAAGTGTTCCTCAACAGAAATGTGTAACATCCATGAATATTAAAGGGGTTTAGGAAACAGGGTGCCAAAACACCTTTTTTTTTTTTTCACAAATGCTTAGCACAATCATCTTTGAAGTATTACAGAAGAATACTATTATTTTTGTCACTGAATAAAGCTATGTTGTAATGTAATAGTAACACTCTTCTAATTTAGTTCTACCTTTAAACTTTACGGGTTCTCATTAATATATCACTTCAGCTGCCCCCATCAATTTCAGGCTGCAGTTCCTAATCCTACATTTGCTAACCCTTATTTCTCCAGTTTTTTAGTTTAGCTGCAGAGCTTCAGGGAGGATGCTTAAAGAGGAATCTGTGAACAGCAAACAGGTTCCTCCTGAAAGACTCTTTCTTTCCTCATCAGATACATGCCTCACTTTTTCTTTTTTTTTTTTTTTAATTAGGACAACCATAAATCCTTGAAAGATTTAAACTTAGATTTAATTCCAATTGCAATTATTTCAAATCACCTGACTATACTAACATGAATGCCTTTTTCCTACAAAACGTACTCCCCTTCCACATAAATTAAATTATTAAAAGAATTACATTACAATACCATAGTTACGCCTCTGTCTAACAAATGCGCAAGTAATTCTTGTAACTGTGAATCAAACTAACTCCAGGACTTAATGACTAGCTCTGGCCTCTGATAAGGGCACTTTTGCACATACTCCAGGAGTGAGGGGGCGGTCCTTTAAATAGAGCAGTTCTAAGTGCCGCTCTAATTAAAGTACCGCCGCATCTCCTGTATCAGCGTCCCCGTGCTTGAAAACGGCAGTGGGGGCATTTGAACTAAAGCTTGTTTGACGTGCTTTAGTTCAAGCGCCCCCATCACCATTTTTAAGTGCAGAGACACTGATACACAAGATACAGGAGGCTCTTGGAGTGTGGCAATTGCGACGCTCCAGCAGACTCAGTTAATTTAGTCTGTTCCAATGCGCTGAAATTCCAGCACATTGGAGCAGCCTTGTTGCTCGTGTATAGGTGCCTTGAGAGGTTCTGATTCTCCTTCCTAAATTCAGTTTCCCTTAAACACTGCTACTATGTTTATCATCAGAACTTTGGATGATCTATGGCCAAAGCTAAACAAGCCTCTGTAAATGTTTGATTCAGAAGCGCCTTAAAAGATCTACAGATTTTGTTTCATTACTTTTACTCAGATTTATGTTCAGAAACTTTACTCTTCACTCCCAATAGCTATATGCAGTTATTTGTACCTATGAATGCAAAGTAAGTATAATATAGTGCTACAAGTCCGAATGATAAATTCTAATTGCATTGTTTTTCACAGGTAAATACAACACAGCAAAGAACCAAGATATGAAAGATTAAAAATCAAATGCTAAAATAACACTAGAGGAATGCAAAACTCTAGAACTCTTGGTTCAGAAAGGACGCCTTTTATAAGACTAAGAAATCGCAAAAAAATATATCTTTTTCTACAAGTTTTCAGGCACACACCCCCTTCCTCAGGCTCAGGGGAAATTAAAGATGGTAAAAGGTCCCCATAAGTAGAAAATACAACTTCATTTTTGCACAGTGGAAGCTGAAAGTGGAAGTCTATTCCTCTGGGTCCCTGGCAGTGTCTTTGTGAGTATTATCTCTGAACCAAGAGTTCTAGAGTTTTGCTTTTCTTTTGTTGTCTCAGACCAACGTAACTAACAAATCCATCCCTGAAACATGGAAGATGCCAAATTTCAGCTGGTTTTTGATTTAAACATCATTGCTGAATACCAAGGAAGATTTCTACACCTCCCTGCCTTTCTGCCATCTGACACCACCAAAAAAAGGAATCCTGCCTTATCTGCACATCAAAGAGCAACTTACAAAGACCCTCTTATCCCAGAGGAACAGACTTCCACCTTCAGCTTCCTCTGTGCAAAAATGAAGGTTATTTTCTACTTATGGGGACTTTTACCATCTTTAATTTTCTCCGAGTCTGAGGAAGGGTGCGCGTGGGTGAAAGCTTGCAGAAAAAGATATGTTTTGTGATTTCTTAGTTGGTCTAATAAAAGGTATCATCTCTGAACCAGGAGCTCTAGGGTTTTGCATTTCTTTTCATCTCAGACCAACACAGCTACCAAATACATCCCTGAAAGTAACACTAGGTAACTGTATCAAATAATTTATAACAATTACTCTGAGTATATAAGCCAAATTAAATACCTATTCATTCAGTTCAATTTAACAAGTAAAGTGAGGAGTTAGTTTTTTCACAAGGAAGATAAAAAGGAAAGATGCTTTCTTCAGTAGCAATATGGTAAACTCTGTGAGTTAATCCATGCTTCGGACAATGTCTTTTGTATTCTTGCTTGATTTAGACAATAGGTGATCTCATTTTCATGATGATTCATGGGTTTAGATTTGAATGTATAACCTCACCAGGGAAGTGTGAAGGCTTGACATTACTGATGAAAACCAAAACAAACACTGCAATGAATAACAAGTTCCCTGTGATAGAGATTTCCATAATTACACTGGGAAGGCTTTTGATAGATTATATATTAAAAGAAACACTACAGTTGAGATAATCTTGTCTTTATACCTATTATTCTCTGCTGCTAGTTTGTACAGTGCATGGGTGATCTCAGCACAGGCAAGAATTGCCCCATGACGACTGTGTAAATCATTGCCCACAGCTAATGGCAGCAATTTTGGCAAAACTGCAAGAGAAGAAATTAAAAGAAAATCAATAGTTACATACTGATAAATTATAAGCAAGTGTTTGCTTTAATGCTCTGCTACATTTAAAATATGTATTATCAACTTCACTGCATCTACTCAAACAATGCATTGGAAAGATTTCTATAAATCTTTATAACTTTAAACGTGCCTATTAAGGTATACTTGGCTTTCAAATTACTTTGTTTCTTCTTGATTTTTTTTTTTTACATTTTACTTTTCCAGTTTCCCTAGGCCAGGGATGTCCAATGTACAGCCAGTGGGCTGGATCCCGCCCATGAATCTGTTCTATCCAGTCCACCAATAGACTAGTGGGCCAGCAGAAGATGGGTGGTGGGGGCTAGTGGGGCGCAGCCTGCTGAAGAATTCAAGGTTCCTGAGCTGCAATGGACATGGTCATCAGAAGCAAAGAAGCCCTAGACCCATGCCATCACAATCAGCTGACCTCTGCCACTGCCCCCAGCTCCACTGCATCCACTGCTCATTCCATAGACCTGACCTAGGAAGCGCCACCGTGGTCTAGATCTTGCCCAAAGCCCAGAGTATAACACCCCTGCCCTAGACTGTACTTCTAAATACCAAATACTTCATTTTGGATTGGTCTTAAAAACTGAAAATTATTGTGCATCATTTAATAAAACCCATTAAGTCTGGTAAGTGGTAATGCTATCAGAGTGACAGCACCATTTTCAGATGCTTGAAAAAAATCTTCTTTCACTCCCTTAAAATCACATGTTTGTTCAAGTCTTGTTTCTTAATATGTTTTCGCTACATACACAAAGGCATTTAATATGGGATAGTCTATAAAATAAATTTACTGATACTCACCCACATGTGCCATATATTCAGGGGCCTGTGGAGTAAGGTTATGAAGAGCCTTAGCTGAAAGTTCTCGAATAACCCTGTGAAGGTTAAAGAAATATTTTCTTGTTCATTATCTCTTTATCAATGAATACAACCCATTTCTGAGTGAGATTCTTTCTTCAATACAAAAGCAATTACAAATTATAAGACCCTCTTGACCTCATATCTGCACAGCCAGACCCTTGGACACCACATAATCATGCAGAATGCTTCACTCAAATTTTAAGGCCCAGGGCAACATCTAAAGATTATTTTTCTGAGAATGCTGAAATGTAGTTTTTTTCCAGTAAAGAAATCAGTTTCTATGACTGAATAGAGGACTGAAACATTAATGAATATGAGCAACTATTTAAACAATGTAAATTTATACAAAACTGTAACCAAAGTAATAAATCTCATAAGAGACAGATGGTTCCTTCAGGTATTTTTCTTCATTCCTCCATGCTATAGGGAGAGACCTTGAGAGGACTGTTGTCAAATTCAAGTAAACTAAGACATTTTTCAGGATAGTTCATTCTAAGGTCCAAGTGAAATGTACACTGATATTCTACAAAAACATGGCTACAATGTTCCGTTATTGTCCAAATGAAGAATAAAGACACATCTGTTATGCGATATCATGTTATCACTTTAAACCTAGATAATCTGCAGTTACCTTTTGGCTACATGAATAAAACTTACTGTTATAGTAGCCAGAGAATTAGAGGGGAAAAAAATACAAATATGGATGACAGTACCTGAGGGCTCATCCCATACACTGCCAGGGACATTGTGTCATGAGGAATAATAACAGTTTACATTACTACATCATCACATTTATGGTATATGTACACATTTTAATCTTCATGCAACACTAAATATAACTATACTTTTTATCTTCATGTATGAAATCTACTTAATTAAAGATAATTATATGGTGAAGATGTTTACCCTATATAGTATGCATCTTATTAAACAAAGTGCTTTATTCATCTCCTAAAACCAGGCTTAGAAACTGCAAAAACTAAACTAAATAAGTTCATAAACTTTTTTTAAGGGATAATATGATCTGGAAAAATGGATTATATAAGCAACTCTTGTCCAGTCTTCTTCAATCAGCTATCACAGCTTTCCTAAAATATGCATATATCTTTTAAAAAAAAATAAATTTCTATATAAAACAGCCATCTCAAACTTGCATGGCAAACAAAAACCAAAATTCCATTTAAAATGTTATGTATGTATGTTGTAAAGAAATACACTACCAAAAATGTATGTTGTAAAGAAACACACTACCAAAAGCTGGTTAAAAAAAAGGAAATGCTGATAAATTATTCGAATCCTTAATACAATAGAACCCCATCCCAATCAAGGCCCATAGCTGCTTTTGAAAGGAAAAGAAACAAAATCTCCCTCTGCTTTTAAAGACAGATTACTAAAGAGCACAGAAAAATAGGATTTGCAAAATATTTAACTTTAAGGCATCAATTAGAATTTCAGAACCTACCCATCCCAGTGGTTGATCTTCATGTTAACCAGGTGATCGATCATTGGTTGTGTATATTCAGGAAAGCCAGCAACGTATACACTAAAAACAAAAATACATGTTTGTGCATATATACAAAAATGTAAAGGATGTATAGATTATGGCAGGAACTTCTTAAAGACTGTAACTCACCACTTTTTAAGGGAACAAAAATTCTTGTAAAGTACTGAGATGTATAAAATGTTCTATCCCATATTCTGCACTACATTTACGTTTATATTGGTACTAGCCAATTGCCCATCAAGAATGATAGGTAGGGCAGGGTGGGGGGGCATGGAACACTGCCACCCACCACCCCATGCCACTGGTGCCTCCCAGGAGCAGGGAGGAAAGCTTGCCCTGCCATTCCCTCCATCCCCCTCTGCTGGCACCCTGCACCACCACCATCTCCAGCACCACTAGCCTCGCCCCCCGCCCTCACTCCTCGGAGGTGGCAGAGCACCACCATGACAGTGGGAATGGAACAAGGGGGCAAGAACAGCACCCCGCTCCATCCCCGCCATCATGGAGGTGCTCTGCACTCTGACTGGTTGTTTCACTAACCAACCAGAGTGCTCCAGGAGTGTTACGAATATAGACAGATGGACTAAGCCCTTTATTATATAAGAATTTATATTGCATATGTAAAATGAGGTCTTGCATGAAGGGCAATATTGAATACATTAATAAATATTTCATTTACATTTAATAAATACTCAAAAAAATAAACTGGCAATAAACATTTTTACTGTTCAAATCCAATGATTAATATATTTAAACATTAATAGTAAATTTCCAGAAAGTGCACTCAGAAGCATATTACATAGTAAACTGCATACAAAAACTCTATATAAAGAACACTGACAAAATGTGTCTCAGCCCTTCCTAGCACTGATCAACAGAGGATGACAGCTTATTACTATTACCAATAACTCCATTAGCTCAAGTAATAGAGGTTTGAGGATGAGGTAGGTGAATATACCACACAAACTTCTCTGTCCTCAGTTTGCTTTTTTTTTTTAATGTTGGAAATGACACATAAGCAAGGTACATTAAAAGAACACTGAAGTGACAAAGTCAAGTACTCAAGAGTTAGGAGATGCCAGAATTAAAACTGCAAATTAAGAATGCAGAGACAAATTGACCAGTCCTGTATCTTATCTTTTCAGTGGTTGACTTTACACTTCAGCAAGTGGAATAAGTGACAGCAGTGGTAGGCTGTCATCCTCTACATCAGGAGTGTCAAAATCACCTGGAGGGATGCATGCAGTGGGGGAAATTCTCCTATGGCTGGAACTGTCCCAGAACTCTGGGACAGTTTGAACCATTGCAAAATGCCCCCGCCCCTGCCAATCAGCTGACTGGGAAGAGGGTGATCAGGAGTGGGGTAAGAAGGAGCAAAGGATTCTCCCAAGGCTGGAACTGTTCTGGGCCTAGGAACAGTTCCTGCCCTGGTATACCTGCTCTCCCTGGAGTTGTGCTCAGGGAAGGAGCATTTTCACATGGATCAACCCATCCTGCCTGGAAAAGGTCAAGCTGCACTGCCTCCGTCTCCCACTCCTTACATAAGTCAGGGTCACCCTAGTCTGTGCAAGGGGTTAGGGGCCCTTCCCCTTAGCTGGAACTGACAAGAGGAGCCCCAAGAGTGTTCAAGCTGCAGTGGCTGCCTCCTATGCTATGCACAGAAGTGGAACTGTGGATGAGGCAGGACGCAGAGGCATTGTGGTTGGAACCCTCCTGAAGCTCCTGAGGGTAGTTCCAGCTCTGGGAAAATGCCCTTTGCAGACAGGGGTCAACTCAGAGATCTGCAATCTGGGGAAAGGGAGGCATTTCCCCACAGCTCAAGCCCTCCTAGTACCCCTGGGATAGGTTGTGCTCTCCTGCATTGGGGCTGTAAGGCTTGTATGCTCCCGCCCCAAACTATTTGGAACTGTACCCTGTCCATAGCCTATAATAAAGCCCTGATTACTCAAAGATATCTACCTGAACAAACTTTCACGCTTATACAAAATCCTTGCAATCAAGTGGGACTCTACATTGATGTAAGGGTTTATCAGATAGACCCTTTTTCCAGGGCTGAAGTCTACATATCAGAACTATAGAGCATGCATTCCATGTTGTTGCTTTAAGCTACAAAAATGTGTCGTGAGGTCATATAAATGTCCGTCAGAAAAGTCCAGTCCTGCAACCATAAAATAGCACTATGCATTTTTTGTATAGACAATTAAATATATACCTATTCCCTTGTGCATTAGTGCCACTCGCACAAGGATTTCAGGAAGGAGTGAATTATTGACCCAATTAATTACAGCTCTTACTTGCAGAACAGAGTGGTGAAGTTTTAATAAATCAGTTTAAGGCAGGGATTGTCAGCTGGGGGTATGCATACCCCTGAGGGTACTTGGGAAGCCCCCAGGGGGTTCACAGCAGCAAAGCAGAGAAGTGGGGGGCACTTCCGATTTCACCAGGGGTGATTTTATCATGAGGGACCCCTTCCCCCCACTTGTCGACTGACCGGACTTTTGCTTCTGGACTGGCCGCCAGAGGTACAACCAACCAAAAAAGGTTGAAAACCCCTGATTTAAGGTATGGGATGACACACACCTCAGGAAAAGAAGCTTAATTAGAAAGTGAAAATGGTTGCAAGGAATCATAATTTAATAACTAAATGAAATTCCTTTTAAAATTATCAGAGAAAGAGCAAATAATAAAAAAAAATGGTCACAGAATACAAAATGACCTGTCCAAGAGTTTAATACTTGCCTTAATTGTAACTCAGCTAAATAAATTAGGACCTTTTTCATTTACGGCATTTTACATATTTTTTCTTAAATAAGAAAGTAATCAGCAATGCTGAATACAAACATTGCAAGTCAACCAAAAGGCAAAGTAAATGCCAGTGAGAGCTTAGAAGACAGAAGCAGAACCCTTAAAAAAAGTAAGCAAAAAAGAAATAGCCTATGCAAATTCCAAGCCAAAAAAACTTTGTTTTGTCAAAGCTTTGTACAGTTTAAGAACAACAGGTCAAATTCTCTGCTCATGTAAACTGACAAGTTTCACATTATTCAGAACACATGATCTACTGCATGTCTGCATTTTTGTTTAGTAGCAGGGAGAGATGGGGAACATACGCAAAATGTAAAAGGAAGGTGTAGACAACAGAAAGGAAAGAGTAGGTGGAAGGCAGAGAGTACAGGAATGTAGGCTGAAGTGATTATGAACAAAAGAGACAAATGTGAAGAAGGATCAATTTAAAAAGAAGAAGAACGATAAGAGTTGGCAGAGTGGGAAGGATCACACTAGGATTATCACACAACATTAATCCTAATGATCTGCTTTGTGGAAAATTCAAAGCTGTCCCTTGAACACAGGCTGTCATGTGCCCTTTTGGTTTCCTGATATGTGGTCTGTGGCTCAATACTCTGATATACTGGACTTGAGGACCCCTGTTTTTGTATGCATTATTTTATTAAACATGCACCACTGCAGCCACATGTGGACTGTTGCGTGAAATAGCCTTTTTTTTCTTTTTTTTTTCTTTTTTTTTACCAGCCATAAACCAAATTAAATCTTTGACTAAAACATAAGGGGGAAAAGTCACAGGAAGACAAAACAACAACTTGATTCAATTTTTTTAAACAACACTCTAAGCAGTGAAACAACAAAAACACAGAAGTAAAAGCAGAAGGATAAAGGAAGGTTCAAGACAGTGTTCATTACACAGAAGCAAAACAACACAGCATGATGCAAACAAAAAAAATCTACTTGATATGAAGATATTAAGTGCACATCATGCAAAAGAATAAAACTGAGTGCTAGCGCACAAAAGCAGTGAACACCTTCTGTCTAACATGAAGCTGTGGAGGAATCAGGTGTGGTGGGGGAGCCTGATTATAACTGTTCTTCTCCATTTAAATATAATTTTTTCTCTGTATCCTGTTAGGCAATTAATTATCCTTAATGATTTCAGAGATTTAATAGATTTCAGAGATTTCATAGACATTAGGGCTGGAAGGGACCTCAGAAGATCTTGAAGTCCAGCCCCCTGCCCCAGGGGCAGGAAGTCAGCAAGGATCATAGGATCCCAGCAAGATAAACATCCAAATGTCTCTTGTAGGTGTTCAAAGTGGTGCTTGAACCAGCTCCGGCGGCAGTCTATTCCAAACCTTGGGGGCTCGGACAGTAAAGAAGTTCTTCCTTAAGTCCAGCCTGAAAGAGTCTTGCAGGAGTTTGTGACCATTCGATCTTATCATCCCTTGGGGCGCTCTGGTGAACAGACGTTCCCCCAGATCCTGATGAGCACCCCTGATAAACTTATAGGTGGCCACCAGATCACCCCTGAGCCTGCACTTTTCCAGGCTGAAAAGTCCCCTAGCTCTCAGCTTCTTGTCATAAGGTCTGTTTTCCTGACCTCTGATCATGTGCATGGCTCTCCTCTGCACTCTCTCAAGCTTCTCCACATCCTTTTTGAATTGTGGAGCCCAAAACTGGATGCAGTACTCGAGCTGTGGCCTCACCAAGGCTGAGTACAACAGGAGAATGACGCCCTAGGATTTGCTTGAGAAGCATCTATGGATGCAAGCCAGCGTTTTGCTTGCTTTACTAACTGCAGCATCACATTGAAGGCTCATGTTCATCTT